CATCAAATTAATTCGACATAAACCCGTAGATGATAAATCAAACAACAAACATATGAAATACATATATATGAACTGCGGTTATGAAACGTATATGTGCACGATCCTTCGCAGTAAAGCACTATTTAAGCAATAGTGAAAATCAGACCTGAAAAAAATTCAGGCCTGTACGGGATTCGAACCACTGACCTCTGCGATACTAGTGCAGCGCTCTACCAATTGAGCTAACAAGCCAACTGGGAGCAGGCCATCAAATTAATTCGACATAAACCCGTAGATGATAAATCAAACAACAAACATATGAAATACATATATATGAACTGCGGTTATGAAACGTATATGTGCACGATCCTTCGCAGTAAAGCACTATTTAAGCAATAGTGAAAATCAGACCTGAAAAAAATTCAGGCCTGTACGGGATTCGAACCACTGACCTCTGCGATACTAGTGCAGCGCTCTACCAATTGAGCTAACAAGCCAACTGGGAGCAGGCCATCAAATTAATTCGACATAAACCCGTAGATGATAAATCAAACAACAAACATATGAAATACATATATATGAACTGCGGTTATGAAACGTATATGTGCACGATCCTTCGCAGTAAAGCACTATTTAAGCAATAGTGAAAATCAGACCTGAAAAAAATTCAGGCCTGTACGGGATTCGAACCACTGACCTCTGCGATACTAGTGCAGCGCTCTACCAATTGAGCTAACAAGCCAACTGGGAGCAGGCCATCAAATTAATTCGACATAAACCCGTAGATGATAAATCAAACAACAAACATATGAAATACATATATATGAACTGCGGTTATGAAACGTATATGTGCACGATCCTTCGCAGTAAAGCACTATTTAAGCAATAGTGAAAATCAGACCTGAAAAAAATTCAGGCCTGTACGGGATTCGAACCACTGACCTCTGCGATACTAGTGCAGCGCTCTACCAATTGAGCTAACAAGCCAACTGGGAGCAGGCCATCAAATTAATTCGACATAAACCCGTAGATGATAAATCAAACAACAAACATATGAAATACATATATATGAACTGCGGTTATGAAACGTATATGTGCACGATCCTTCGCAGTAAAGCACTATTTAAGCAATAGTGAAAATCAGACCTGAAAAAAATTCAGGCCTGTACGGGATTCGAACCACTGACCTCTGCGATACTAGTGCAGCGCTCTACCAATTGAGCTAACAAGCCAACTGGGAGCAGGCCATCAAATTAATTCGACATAAACCCGTAGATGATAAATCAAACAACAAACATATGAAATACATATATATGAACTGCGGTTATGAAACGTATATGTGCACGATCCTTCGCAGTAAAGCACTATTTAAGCAATAGTGAAAATCAGACCTGAAAAAAATTCAGGCCTGTACGGGATTCGAACCACTGACCTCTGCGATACTAGTGCAGCGCTCTACCAATTGAGCTAACAAGCCAACTGGGAGCAGGCCATCAAATTAATTCGACATAAACCCGTAGATGATAAATCAAACAACAAACATATGAAATACATATATATGAACTGCGGTTATGAAACGTATATGTGCACGATCCTTCGCAGTAAAGCACTATTTAAGCAATAGTGAAAATCAGACCTGAAAAAAATTCAGGCCTGTACGGGATTCGAACCACTGACCTCTGCGATACTAGTGCAGCGCTCTACCAATTGAGCTAACAAGCCAACTGGGAGCAGGCCATCAAATTAATTCGACATAAACCCGTAGATGATAAATCAAACAACAAACATATGAAATACATATATATGAACTGCGGTTATGAAACGTATATGTGCACGATCCTTCGCAGTAAAGCACTATTTAAGCAATAGTGAAAATCAGACCTGAAAAAAATTCAGGCCTGTACGGGATTCGAACCACTGACCTCTGCGATACTAGTGCAGCGCTCTACCAATTGAGCTAACAAGCCAACTGGGAGCAGGCCATCAAATTAATTCGACATAAACCCGTAGATGATAAATCAAACAACAAACATATGAAATACATATATATGAACTGCGGTTATGAAACGTATATGTGCACGATCCTTCGCAGTAAAGCACTATTTAAGCAATAGTGAAAATCAGACCTGAAAAAAATTCAGGCCTGTACGGGATTCGAACCACTGACCTCTGCGATACTAGTGCAGCGCTCTACCAATTGAGCTAACAAGCCAACTGGGAGCAGGCCATCAAATTAATTCGACATAAACCCGTAGATGATAAATCAAACAACAAACATATGAAATACATATATATGAACTGCGGTTATGAAACGTATATGTGCACGATCCTTCGCAGTAAAGCACTATTTAAGCAATAGTGAAAATCAGACCTGAAAAAAATTCAGGCCTGTACGGGATTCGAACCACTGACCTCTGCGATACTAGTGCAGCGCTCTACCAATTGAGCTAACAAGCCAACTGGGAGCAGGCCATCAAATTAATTCGACATAAACCCGTAGATGATAAATCAAACAACAAACATATGAAATACATATATATGAACTGCGGTTATGAAACGTATATGTGCACGATCCTTCGCAGTAAAGCACTATTTAAGCAATAGTGAAAATCAGACCTGAAAAAAATTCAGGCCTGTACGGGATTCGAACCACTGACCTCTGCGATACTAGTGCAGCGCTNCACGTGTATTCGTTTGCTTTTAGTTGACTAGCTAGCTTGTGTGGAATTACGCATTAAAACTAGTCCAAAACAACTGGTAGATCCCGTGGACGCTATTTTTCTTGGTGTATCTTCTACTTCAGTAGCACACTAATCCGCGGTGCGAAACACTCAAGATGTGGCCGAGCATTTTCATTATTGGTCAAACTTCAAAGGGTTTTCAACTGAAGAGAAGAGGTTGCAAAATTTTGCCTGTGTAAAGAGGTTTAGAAATAAGGGAAAGAGAGTTACGATAAAGAAGCGGTTGCTGTATAGAGATAAGAAAATCTTTACGTGGCGAAGAAAAAAAGATGAAATTATCTTTATTGCCCTTAAACTGCTGATGGAACTCGGGAAAGACGGAGAATTGGGCGTCGGAGAGTTCGTCCTATTGCTGCATCTTCCCTCTGAAAATTCAAACCGACCTCTAGTTCCAAGCGAAGGTGGCTCGTTCATTCAAGGTGTGGCCGAGCATTTTGCGTACGTTTCGAGCTTTGAAGGGTTTGCTACCGAAGATAAAAGGCTGGAGGAAACCATAACTTGAAGAGAGTTTTAGATAATGAGGGAAAGAGGTACGATAAGAAGGGGTTTTCATTGTGAAGTTTGAAAATCTTCTTCACCTGGGGAAGAAGAGAGATGAAATCCTTTTCGTTGTTTTGAACGATTTAGCGCGGCGTAAAGGAGTTTAGTCAGAATTTAAGTCAAACTGAACTAGTTGCAACTTCCCATTCTCGCTTTGAGATGTGTTGACTGAATTGTGTTATTGGAAACTTTTTGAAGGTTTTTAAAAAATATTATTAAACTGATCTTTCCTCTTTAACCACAGATGGCAATAAATGCCCTTAAACACAGGGAACAAGTTCACTCAGCATACTGTTACAGTCACTGATAGCTAAAATATTTTATTTGAACCAGTTTTGAGAGCCCTTGTAGCTTCTATTAATCAGAAAACAAACACGTGACAAGACGTTTAATCATTAAACTCAGGTGGTCATCCACACAGTTAAGAAGAAAGTGCGTAATTTTTTAATCTCATTTATCAGAATCAGTCAGAAGGAAAAACTTGTGATCAATCCTTTCATGTTGTTTGGGTCCTCAAAGCTCATCATCTAATATAGTGTTGCTGGGAGCATGGTTTGGACTTTTCCTTCACGAGACTTGGGCAAACGGATCTGAAGTTCCATTTGCCGAATTAATTATAAATCGGCTATGTAATGTGATCAGCGACATCTGAGTCATTATTTCAACTTCACCGCTACCCCGGAGAATTCCCAACAAACTGTACAAATCTGTCGTTTATAGTTAGTTACACTAAAAGTCTGCACATTCTGAAACAGGTTCACAGTTTCCTCCTTCGATCATACTTTTATTGAATAATGATTTATTTTCAATAATGAATACGCTTAATTACGACAATTTTTCTTCGATCTCTGGTGTTTTCCCTCCCAAACAAACTGGAATCTAAAGGTTACAAATGAATGATAATTTACATCGATCAAAACAAAAACAAAAAATTTAAGTATCGCGATGCAGTTTTTCGAACGTTACAGTTTCTCTCGGCAAACACTGCATGTGTGATTTACAGGAATAAGGCAATCACTTTGCACTCATTAATCAGCTCAACTGTACTTTGATATTCAGCTTCATGAAACTCTACACTGATACACCAGTATTGTTTGGTTATAACAAGTGACCTAAAAGAAAGAGCCATTAGATAAGGACAGAGAGAACAACAAAGGCAAAATGAAAGGGTTGTTCATCTGAGCTCATGAAAAAAAAAAGACAATACTTGTTTTTGCAGCTGGCAAATTTTTTTCATTTCTTATAAACTTTCCAAAATTTAAAAAAAGTGTCGATAAACTATGCATTCAATTGAGATGACATCCCTCTATATATACGGAAAACTACTCGGAAAAACAAGATTTTTAAGTTGACCGTAAAGTAAAACGTGAAGTACGAACTAATTACTACAATGAGCCAAATCGAATCCATTGACTCAAAGTTCTAAAATGTTATTTTCCCTAAGACTAAGGCTTATATCTGGGAGATGATTTCAAAATTAGCAGAAAACAATTTTCTTAAAAAGTACGGTCTAGGTTGAATTTATTCACATTTACTCAAATATCTGAACGCGATGGTTATAACGATCAGCCACAAGTATCCTACCATCACTGGAACTCTCCTGGCCTGCTCCCTTCTTTTCCAAACTTTGTTACAAATCTACCACTCAATTCAAATACTTGAACTTTGTGATTCTCTCTGTCACAGACCATCAGGTGTCCAGCCTTGTTAACTGACAAAAAACGAGGTTCATTGAACTGCTCATCCCCCGTCCCCCTTATTTCTAAAATTGTACAAAAAATCACCTTTTATATCAAACACTTTGATATAATGTTCATAACTGTCTGACATTATGAGATGTTTGTTATATTGAATACAGTGAAGAGGAGCAGTAAAATCTTTACCTTCACCAAGTTTATACAAAAACTGGCCATTGGATGAAAAGGTTTTTATAAGGCTGTTGCCCTCATCCGCAACAATGATATTTCCATTCCCGTCAACAGATAAACCAAAAGGATTACTCAGCTGGTGATCAAGATTTCCTTCACCACCAGCCTGGCTCAGGTACTCACCTTGCTCATTAAACAATTGAACGCTGTGGTTTTCTTTGTTTACTACTGTAATGTTATTGTTCGTATCATGTGCTCTGCCAGAAGGGAAATTAAACTCTCCCTTATTATTACCCTCACTACCAAAAGATCTCAAGTAAGTTCCATCACTGCTGAATACCTGAATCCTGTGGTTACCAGTCTCAGTCCCGGAAATTTCATCTCGTTCATTCACTGACACTCTATATGGACCGGCAAGCATTCCAACTGACGACCCTTCTTTTCCAAAAGATAACAAGGGTCTGAACTGTCTGGGTTTCGTGTTAACAGCAAATGGACTGCCTCGAATATGTTCTTCATTTGCTTTCACTGATAGTCGGCATTTTCCTGTGTCTTTGAGGAAATATCTGACTTTGTAACTACCATCTTTGTTAACTTGGACTCGCACTTCCGTAGCACAGTCATTGCCTTGCTGATTTTTGATTCCCACCATTACACAGTCACGGTCGTGGCGACATTGTTCTCCCTCTATATTTCGTGTTGTTAATAAGAAGTTCGATGGAAGGCAAAGAATCGCTTCAGTGATTCCTTTTCCTTCGGCAGTTGACTGATGAGCGATAGTTTTATTCACAAAGGTCATAAATGAGCCGATGCTGTCCGATTTTATACTATCAAGTACTGTTTTGTTTTCTTTGAAACGGAATTGACGAAAACCTTCAAGGTCAGACGAGGCTTGTTTTCCATAATCACTGACTTATTCCGGAAAGACCTTGTTCAGTGATTTATCTAATTGTGTGACCTCGGCATTGGTACCTCGTTTTTAAAAATGTTTCAGTTTTTTCGATCGCTGTTGTTGGCAGTTTCACTTGACGGTTTATCTCGCATTGTTGAGCTCCCACACATCCAAAGGATTCTTTTAGTTTTGTTTCAACTTTGTTGAACATTTCCTTTTTCTTTGTTTCAATGGCTGCGATCATGTTTTCAGTAAGCCCGGTATGGATGTCTCGTTTCACTGCATCAGCTCGCGCCT